TCTGCTAAATGTAAATGACTAAATGTAAATGTTAATACCTGCTCAGTAAATGCATGTGTCTGTGTGTGTTAGATCTGCTCTCTTGTTCTGTACTGTAATGCTTGACTTCGACTGTTGTATTGTTTTTGTAATGCTGCAGAAGAGCAATTTAATGAAAGATGCCAATGTTCCGTAAGTAACTACATTTATTAATAAAAATAATAATCAAAATTAATAATGCATTAGTGTAGTAAGCAAACAGAGTCTTGTATTCAGCTCATGTGCGACACATTTGTTTGCATAACTTATTTTAAACCTGGTTTGTCCAATCAGAATGTAGAGCCAGTGCTGTGTGTTTTATGATATTATAATAATTATCTGTGGATTAGACATCACTGCTGCTGTAATGTGTCAGCCGTCATTCAGTTGTTGACTCAGATTTACAGCTGTGTGTTTGAGCACCTTAAACCTGAAGCGTGAGGACAGATTGTGTTTTATACAGACAGACGGACAGATACTGTATGTATCAGTTGTTTTGAGAATGATGGAATTCCTGTTTATCTCTATCACCAGGCGACAACATCCTGTCTGTCCTCAAGCACCTGGTGATGTCAGACGAACTGGCGGATTCCTCGGAGTATCGCCATGGTAACATGGTGTTCTTCGACCTGCTGGGATTGATGATGGTGGCGTATCCCGCTCACGTCGGCACCGTCATCAACTACATGGTGGCCGTCGCTGCGGTGATCTACCTGGGCGGGAAATGCTTGTTAACCAGCAGTGTGGGTACGTAATGGATAACATGACCAGATATAGGTCTGTCACCAATTGTGTTCGTTTATTTTCATGTTATCACTGAATGCTTAAGAAATTTCGTTAATGGGCATTTTTAAAAAGAACACTTCTTTGAACATTTTTTCAAAATTTCTTCAAATTTCAGGAGGCTTATATAATTGCTATATTTTATAATATTGATAGTATTCAGTATACTTTATATTTTATTGAATATAATATTGTTAAATATGTTTAAAAATATTGTTAAAGTATTGCATTGTCTATGTTTATTGATGTTCCTGTGTTTTTATAATTATTTTAATATCTACTATGAGTATTTATTTATTTATTCGCTCATTTATTTATTTATTCATTCATTC